TCTCATTGTTTTAGGTGAGAAGAAACATCAGAAACCACTGAGAGACCAGGAAGTAGGTCCTCTAGATTTGAGGAAGCATTCTGCTAGCTGTCTTTTAAAAATGTTTCCTCCAGAGTCATCTGCCTCATTAAAAATGGTTTTTGTCTCAGAAGCCTCTCTCTGATTTTGTAAACTGACATGATTTCTTGTTCTGTTATGAATGTACGCCGCTCTTGTCCTTCAATAAACCCATCATACATTTCCACCATGTCACCTGGAGGCACGTTTTCTTCAGGGTTAACAACGTCATCTTCATCATCCATGTGAGGCATCATGTCGATATTCAAAAAGTTTCAGATTTGGGATTTTTGGATTAGGGATGCTTGACCTGTACTAAAAAGTTCTGCATATATTATTTCAACTTCCAACAATCTTGACCAAGACAAAAAAGGAGCCAGGTATTGTCTCCCCATTTCACAGATGACCAAACAGCCTCAAAGAGGCTCCCCATTTCACAGATGACCAAACAGCCTCAAAGAGGCTTCCCTATTTGTCTGGTTGCAGAACCAGAACTCAATGTGGGTCATCTGACCTGAGCACAGGACTCAATTTACTCTGTCACATTCTAGCAGACAGCGAGCTTCAGTCATATCCTCTGAAACAGAATTCTTAACACATCTTTCTCCTTGTGAAAAGTGAAGCAAAAATTTTGCATTTTTAAAAAATGTTGAGCCCTTCACTTTCTATCACTGAGTTTGAGGACCATGTTGACACAAGGTGAGTGATCTTTAAATGTTACCCTACAAAGAATACACAAAATGTGGTGTGTCCATACAATTAAATATTCAATGATAAAAGGAGTGAAGTACTGATACATGCTCCAACATCTATGAAGCTTGAAAACATTATGCTAAGTGAAGGAAGCCAGCCACGAAAGGCCATGTATTGTATGATTCCATTTCTTTGAAATATCAGAATAGGCAAATCCAGAGAGACAGAAAGTAGATTAGGTTGGCAAGGGCTGGGGACTAATGGGGAATGACTTACTAATGGGTATGAGATTTCCTTTAGCGGTGATGTAAATATTCTGGAACTAGATAGAGGTGATTGTTGCAACAACATTGTGAATATAATAATTGGCACCAATTGAACACTTTAAAATGGTTAAAATGATGAATTTTATGTTATGTGTATTTTATCATAATTTTTAAAAAGTTGTCCCATTGCGGAGTTCTTTTTAGCATTTGAAAAGGATGGACGATATGCTCTAAACCATTTGCAGATTCGGAGGGAAAGCTCTCGTTCTCTCGCCCACTTGGCCTGTCCAATGAGCAGGTCTGAGATGGCTCTGTATGTGTCCTGGGAAGCAGCTGTGGCCCCAGCCAGGGGTGTCTGGCTGTGTCTCACATGCCTGTCCTGTCCTTGGCTCACAGGAGGCCTGGCTGGGCTGCTCACTTACTCTCGATCTGCGGGGCGCTGCGGTCGTTGATCTGCGTGACTTTGCGCAGGCGAGTTCCTTGCTGGATATCAGCCAACAGCGCACTCCGGCCTTTCGGATCTGCCCTTCGCAAGCTGGAGGTGTCTGTGCTTACCTGTAAGGGAGTAAGAAGGATTTGACTATAATAGCATTTTCAGATAAACAAAATGTCCCGTCTGCTGTCAGTTTCTCCTCTTGCAGTTCTCTGTCTTCCCCGTCCCATTCCCAAGGCTGATCTCGGATTACCTACGGGAGAGACACTTTTGGGTCCTGCTCACACCTCTTTAACTGGTGACCTAGAAGGGACTCTTTATTTTAAATGACCCAGTCCCAAGTGCCTATCTTGTGCACAAGCTCCTGGAGGTCTTAGAGAGCCCTAAATCATAGCCCCTCCTTCCTCTCTCTTACACTCCCCACCCCAGGGCTTCTGTCCGTGAGTACCTGGCTCCTGCTCTCAGGTTTTGAATGATCATCCTGCTTGGTGCCCCAGGTCCCCTCCTGGACCAAATCCTTGGCTGATTCCCCACTTGACGATGGGAGTTGCTCCTGTGCCCCGTCATCCCCTGGATGTTCTCCAGAGCAGGACTGAAGTCTTGCTCAGTCCTTAGTAACTCACATCTTCCTTGCTATTGGGTCCTAGATGGCTCAGGCTGGGCCCATGGTGCCTCTTAAGGGAAGCAGATTCATGCTCTAGGAGCTGGCTTTGAATGGGGGATGGTGGCCTTCATGTGATCATGGAGCAGATGGCAGAACTGGGGAGCTCAGGGGAAACTGGGACCCATAGAGGTCAGAAAGTTGTGGAGAAAGGGAATGCAGAAGATGACAGTGAATGTCTGGTGACTACCTTCTGTGCCTGGGTGTGTTACATTAGTCCTCACAAAACCTTGTGAGTTTGCCTCATCTTACAGATGAGGAAACCGAGACTAAGAAATCATCTGTTTGAGGGTGCAGGGCTGGGGTTCAAACCCAGATGAGCTGAATCCCAAAGGCCATGTGCTTTTCACTTTTCAACACTGTGACTACCAAGGACACATGGTCTTTTATTAGGATAAGTGTCTAATGGACTGCTAAATGCTTCATAAATATATTTGCAAGAAAAACTTTTGTCCTAATTCTGCAAGTAGGCCTGAGACACAACTGCTTCACTTCAGCTGTAGCTTTAGCTGACATGGTGGAGGTTTCCATGGGTTATTAGAGCCAGGGAACACCAGAAAGAACATTGGGGAGGTTGGTGGCAAATAAAGGTGGGAAGGGGTTGCCCTGGAAGCCACAGCCAGGAGGATTCTCCACAGTTAGAAGGTTCATACCAACCACGTGACCTTAAAAATGGCTGATCCTTTCTCAAAGCAAGAAATACTTGTTAGTCTTACTGTATGGGGATACCATGTATCTTTGGGTTTCAACTTAAATATCACCACTTCAGAGGCCTTTTCTGACCCAAAATCTAAATAAGGCCATTCACTGTTTTCTCTGAGTGTACCATATTCCTTTTTCCTCTGTCACATTTATCATAGGGTATAAGTTTATATTATCATTGTGGAAAATTTCAATTTGTGATTATGAGTTGAATGTTCATCCATCCCAAGGACTCCACATCAGGAAAAAAGATTCTGTCTGTTTTGTTCACAAAAATATCCCCAAAGAGTAGAATTGGATCTGGCTCAATAACTACTGTATGAATGAATGAATAAGTGACTTGAGTGAGCGAATGAATGCACTAAACCCAGGGTATCAGAGCTGTCTTTGCTCTTAAAGGCATATGCATGCACCAGGCACAGAGGCATAACTATAGCGAGTTAAGCCACTGTGCAACGCGCAGCACAGGACTGGGCAGCCATGCTGGTTCCCCAGAGAGGAAGGCCACCAAGAGTCCAGAAATGACCATGTTCTTCAGGCTGAGCAGGCTTCAAGGAAGACATGAGACCTTGGAGGGTCCCTGGAGTATAAATAGTATTTATAAATCCTTGCTATTGCCATTTTCTGTTTAAAAAAGGACAAACCAGGTTGGCTGACTAGAAACTCATGGGCTCTCTTGTGTCACAGACTAGAAGCAGAGGCAGTTGTGGTTTTGGCTAAAATGTGCTGAGTCCACATTTTCACTGGTGAACTCCACTGCGTGGGTTATGAACCTTATGCAGGCTTTGAAGGGCATAGGCTTCAAAGTCTGATTCTTGTCCCCTGGAAACAAGCTTTTGAACCCTTAAGAGGGACTTATGAACGATGGTCAACAAGAAAGTGGTGAGCAAGGAGCCTCAATCCTGATTCATTGGAGATTTTATTTATTTATTTACTTTAGAAAGGCAGGGCATTTCCCATACAATATGCTTTTAAAAACCCCATATAAACCATTAATATCATGAGTTCATTTTAAGCTGCAAAATTTTAACATTTTTAAAGTTTCCTCTCATTTTATTTATAAATAATGAATGACAAATTAAGGGACCAAAGGAATATCACGACTGTAGCTAAGAGGGTATGAAAATTTTTGTGTGAATTTGACATTACAACTTCAGGTATGCATTATGGTCAGGGATTTTGGAGAAAAAAGCATGCTTTGTAATTTTCCTTCTAGGTATAATAAGATAACCCACTGAATTATAATAATATTCATGGCCCAACTCAGAGCAGCCTCGGGGAAGGCAAGGGTGAGATTGGTGGGTTCTTTGTTTTAAAAAAGCAACTGGAATGATGAGAAAATCCATCCCTCACTAGCCCTTGGGGATTGGAGGGGAGGGTCATGTCATCCAATTTAGACTGTTTATTACCAAAATGTATCCCCCACCCCTTGACCTTGCCTAGGCCAGGCATTTCAGGTGAGGGCTATGAAGAATGTTGCATGTCCTTAAGATGAAGATTTTAACTTTGGACATGTCTCAATAAGTTCTTGACAATTCTACAGGGCAGATTTGTTAGTAAACATCTTCCAAGTCAGCAGGAGGACATGGCAAGTCACAGTGTGTTTATTTACACGGTGCAGTTCAACCCTGTGGGCTAAATTTAACATTCCCTCTGACTTCTCGGCTGTCTTCTGCTCCAGCATCAGCCCTGATGAACGCCCTGATGATCTCCCACTAGAGGGCTCTCTCACCTGATCTTTTTTTGTTTGTTTGAGATGGAGTCTCTCTCAGTCGCCCAGGCTGGAGTGCAGTGGCGCTATCTCGGCTCACTGCAAGCTCCGCCTCCCGGGTTCACTCCATTCTCCTGCCTCAGCCACCGTGGTGCCTGCCACCATGCCTGGCTAACTTTTTGTATTTTTTTAGTAGAGACAGAGTTTCATCGAGCCAGGATGGTCTCGATCTCCTGACCTTGTGATCCGCCCGCCTCAGCCTCCCAAAGTGCTGGGATTACAGGCGTGAGCCATTGCGCCCGGCCTCACCTGATCTTAATATGGTGTTCACCAGTCCTTTCCTCTCCTGTGTGGCAGGAAGGAATTAACAATTCTGTGGCAAAAGTGACCATATACAGTATATTTAGACTTAATTGGTTTTGCACAAAAGGACATATCCATTTGCATATTGAAGACCACATTACACAAAGCCAGTCATTTCTACTTCATCTGCAATATTTATTGACAATTCAACCATAATTTGCCGTCTTAAGAAACCTCCTGCCACCCCAAGAATTCTTGTTACTGTGGTTACAGGATGCAGAAACAGGAAAGAAAGGATTTTCAAATATTCACTGAACATTTCATGTTGCGCAAATCCTGATCATAGGCAACTTCACTAAAAACACAGTCAAGGGAGAGAAAGCCATTCCTGGACACTTTTCCCATGGCAAAACTATGCACCAAAACCTAAAACACACACAGACAAAACAAAACAAAAAAGAAACCAACAAAACATTACTTCCAAGTTCACTCTTATTTTGTCTCATTAACATGGTGCTTAAGTAGTGACAATTTGTTGGGTTTCACACAAAGCTTTTGTTGACTCAATTCTACAGCAAGCTTAAAAGAGATAGCCCAGAATCCCCAAAAGATGAACCATCATAGAATAGACGTGCACCTTAGCTCATCCCCTTGGTTATAAAGGATGAAAGCTTGAAGTGTGCCTGTGAGATTAGAAATACAAAAATTGAACAACAGTCCTAACAAAGCCAAGGATAGAATAAAAAAATAGTGAGGGGCCTTTTCTCTCACCTTGATACATTATAAAAGCTTTCCCATGTCCATTTGTCATTCCAACAAATGAGTCAACTGCCTTATGGCATAGTTTGGGGAAGGGAGATGACAGTCCAGCCCAGATCAAAACTTTGACATACACATTTCCTGCTATTTGTCACCCTGTCACCATATGCCATCCTCACCTTTCCAATACTCATAACTGTGAAAAATGCTAATAAAAATCTTAGCTGGTCGATTCTAATCTAGCAGGTCATTTCTCTCAACAAGGATCCAAACCCTATCATTTTAATACAATTTCAGCTTTGCAGTCTTCTAAAGGTAGCTTCTCCAATGTGGCCATTAAACCTAAAATTAGTGTTCAGGTTTCCAGGCATACAAGCCTGCTCATCACCCCAGCCCTCAGCCTACCCCGTCTCCTGAAACTTGGGGGCAGACAGACATCAGCAGCCAGGGTATTTGCAGTTAGTTACCAAGTCTGAATCCCAAGGACAGCCAGAATGGCAATGTCTCCCTTCTACTGTTGCCATCTTTATGTAGGAGAACACAGAGAACCTGGAATCCAAAAGAGAGACATGAAATATTTGCTTAAAAAACTAACTTTCTCCTGTCAGGTCTGACACAGTGTTCCCTACACCCCATATGTGCACAAGTCAAGTTGTTCTAGAATGAGGTACATTGAGATCTAACAGTTCCAAGTCTCATTTTTAGAAACCCAAATATCCAATTCCAATCCATGCTCAAAAAGAATGTACCTGCTAACTTTCTTTTCTAAAGCCTGATTTTTTTTTTTTTTTTTTTGAGATGGAGTGTCACTCTGTTGCCCAGGTTGGAGTGCAGTGGCATGATCTTGGCTCACTGCAACCTCCCCCTCCCGGGTTCAAGCAATTCTTCTGCCTCAGCCTCCAGAGTAGCTGGGATTACAGCAGGTGCATGCCACCATGCCCAGCTAATTTTTGTATTGTTAGTAGAGATGGGGTTTTGCCATGTTGGCCAAGGTCTGGTATCTTAAACGATACTGTGTACAGACCTGTGACTGTTACCTAGAGTACAGAACTGATTCACCCTGTGCCCCTTTGCTTCCTTGGAGGTAAAGCAGAACGAGGGGGTCTTTTGTTGGGGCTATGAGTTATGAGTCTGGTCCTTTTCTTTACATCCATAAAACAAGCCTACCCATCAAGGTTATCTCATCCGCTTTCATGATTTGGTTATTATCTGCGGCTGTCACCTCCTCGCTTAGGGATGTAAAGGTCACCTCATACTCATCCCTTTTCCTTATTCTTAACAGTTAGTCCATTGCAAACTCCTGTTGTTTTTCCTGATTTCTCAGAAATCTGTCACCTCTTCTCCATCGCTGCCATGATGTCTTAATGCAGGCATTCATCACCTCTGGATTCCCCTACATGGTTTTCACGTCTCCTTGCCCTCCTCCACACAGCAGTCAGAGTAATCTTTATAAAAGATGTATCATTAATTGTGTCATTCATTGCTGGATCCATTTGAATTGAATCCTGAGGATTCAAATCCCCTCACGTTGCATAAGGCCCTTAGTGACCAGCCCAGACTTTCCATTCCTTGAGCCTTCCACCACACTGGTGCTCACCTCCAAACTTCGGCTTGAGTTGATCTCTGCTCTTTTTACACTTGTCTCTTGGCTGTCTCTCAAGAGGCGTCTTGATCTTGGAAGGTCAGATGAAGAGCCCTATCTGTGTTCCTAGAGCAACATGCTTACCCTTAGCAGAGCATCTGCTACCCAGATCATGTTATTCCACTCAAAATCTGCAATGACTTTCCATCTCACCCAGTGGAAAAAAATCAGAGGCCTCATTAGTATTGCTTGCTGAGCTTGCTCGGATTTCCACGGGGTACCATGAGTTTATGTATAAATGCCAGCTTTTTCCTCCCCAAACCAGTGTTATCAAGCAGTTTTATTGTGTGTCAATCCCTTCCTAACTACAAACTGCACATCTGGCAATACATTGTAGTACTAATTTTTAGCAACAATGAGAATTTTGATTCCAGTATTAATTCTAAGTCTCTTTAGTAGGGAATAATCAGAAAAATATAAGAATAAATGTTAGGGATGGAAAGAGTAGAAATGAAGAAACATGGAGAAAGAGAGATTTGGGACATGTGTAAATTGGGCAGATACAGACAGTTTTCAGAGGCAGGGATTAGAGAGTCAACTACCCCATAACTATCAATTCAAAAGGACATCAAACATATAAATGGTGGATCAGACACTAGACAAAAACATGTCTTTAAATGTACATGATGATTACTTTAACTGATAAAAGTAGTTCACAGAAACTGCTGGAAAGAAGGGGCTTGAAAAGATGGTAAATAGGAATCAGTAAAGCGAACCCCTTGAATATTAATGTAACCCAATATTATTTAAGATTTGAGTGCTAACTCTGTGCTACACATGGTGTTAAGAGTGGGGATACAGGTGGGGCACAGTGGCTCACACCTGTAATCCCAGCACTTTGGGAGGCCGAGGCGGGCGGATCACCTGAGATTGGGAGTTCAAGCCCAGTCTGACCAACATGGAGAAACCCTGTCTCTACTAAAAATACAAAATTAGCCAGGTGTGGTGGCGCATGCCTGTAATGCCAGCTACATGGGAGGTGGAGGCAGGAGAATCTCTTGAACCCGGGAGGCAGAGGATGCAGTGAGCCGAGACTGCGCCGTTGTACTCCAGTCTGGGCAACAAGAGTGAAACTCCGTCTCAAAAAAAGAAAAAAAAAAAAAAAGAGTGGTGATGCAGCATGGGTAAGATTGCCAGGATGTTTTGCTTGGGGTGGAGGGGTATATGTACATGTGTGTGCATGTGTGCACATACCCCGCATAATGACTTATCAGTCAGTAATGCACCACACATACGACAGTGGCCCTATAACAGTATAATACCGTATTGTTACCATACCTTTCCTATGTTTAGATATGGTTAGATACACAAATACTTACCATTGCGTTACAGTTGCCTACAGGATTCATTCAGTACAGTAACATGCCATACAGGTTTGTAGCCTAGAGCAACAGGCCATACCACATAACCTAGGTGTGCAGTAGGCTCTACCATCCAGGTTTGTGTGAGTGCACTCTATGATGTTCACATGATGACAAAATCACCTAACAATGTATATGCTTCAGAACATATCCCCTTTGTTAATCGACATATCATTGTATATATGTGCATATACACACACATATATGTACATATATTTTATATATTTGTGTATGTGCATATATATATATATACACACTTCTCATTATTTATTTTCTAGACCCAGAGCCTCCTAGCTGGTCTCCAAAACTGGACTCTCATCTCTCTTTGAGACAGCCTTCAAATGATCGTTTTTAAAGTGCTAATTGACTCCTCTATCCCAAAATGCTTCAATGGCCCACTAGTCTCTACCGAATCAAGGAATTCAGCCATACTGTCCCAAGATATCTTTCCTTGGCCAGTTGGAGCCTCATTCCAGCTGCTCTGGGTTTATCCTGTGTCTCTTCTTTCCCACTTCCAAGCCCGTCCTCTTCTGGGGATGCCCCACACCCGGCTCTGCCATATCTGCCAAACCTTTCATCTCCCCGTGAAGCTGCTGACATCAAATACAGTTTACGTTAGAAAATGTATTTTTTGAACTTTCTCAACTAAACGTTTCCTTGTGTGATCTGCTTTTCCACTGCCGAGGCACATCGTTTTTAATTCTCTGCAGCACTGCTCTCATCTTGCCCAGTATTATAGCTTCTACATATTGGTCTTGCTCCTTATTTTTGAGTGCAAAAACTAAGCCACTCCACTTTCTCCTACTAGTGAATCCAGTTAAAAAAAAAAAAACTGTGGGAGCAACCTATCAGTATTTGTTGACATGAACTCTATAGAAACCTTAGTCTCTGGATCTTTGACTCTGCTTCCCCTAACATTTATCTGCTCCCACAAAGCAAGCAGGTATGGGAAGAGAAGTGATTGTTTTTTGAGGTCACATTTCAGCCCTGATTCTTCCTAATGTCTTCACCCTTTTTATCCTTTGGCCATTGTGTCCCTAGAGATGTGAATTCAATTCCGCACCATTATCTCCTTTTCAATGATGCCAATATTCTCAGGCTTTTAAGAATAAATTTTAAATTATGAGAAAATTTGATCTTCAAACCTAAGTTGGAACTAGAAAGAACAATCTCATGAACTCAAAAGAAAAAAAAAGATGGGGGGCTAGAGCAAGGAGTCAAGGGCATGGCACCAGGAATAACTAATAAATAATACATAGTTGTAACAGTGTCAGGTTTCATATCTTCTATTTCTTCTAGACAAAAAGTGCTATCAAAAAGAAACATGCCCCCGCCCGGCAGATTAATCTCCAAACTAATGAAATAACATTATTGTTGTTATTTCCAACTCGTCGTGCTGCTGGCCCTCGGTCTCTGTTAAGGGCTTCTCCCCATTCATCTAGGCTCGAAACCTCAAAGGTCCCTATGGCTCCTTCTTCTCTTTCTCATTTGAAATAATCAATCTTTTACAGAGGCCCAGCTCCTTCTCTCTACTTAAGAGTGCACACAGCAGTGACTTTGGCATTTGGGTAAGGGAATTAACAAGAGGGCTGCAACATGCAATGGGTGACAATGACAATAGCAATAAATAAAAGAAATGGGAAGGCATTTGTATGTGCCAGGCACTGTCCCCACCGCTTTGCATGTATTAATTCATTTCAAAGGCCCTGAACAACCCTATAATGTAGGTACTAGTTATGAGTATTATGTCCAGTCTACAGATGAGGCACGAGGGTGAAGCAGACCATCCACTGCTACCAAGTACAGAGCGGAGCAGTGAGTACAGGCAAGTGTGACTCTCTTCATCACAACACAGCCTCTTATACCCAGCAAATACAAGACAGGCCTGCAGCTGGGAGGAGGGTGGAGTGGTCCCACTGCTCTCTGGCTCAAGGACAGGGTAGATGCTGCCTTGCAAGCAGTGTGAGAGCCAGAGCAGGAAGGAGTGGGCAGGAAAGGGGCATCAGAAAAGGAAAAGGGAGGATGGGTTGAAACAGACAGTGAGTGGAGTGTCGAAGAAGGCTGGGGTCAAAGGAGCTAAGTGCTAGGCTTTTGCCAGAGCCAGAAAGGACGGCCAAGGCTGAATGACAGGCTCTGAGACGAGCCTGGCGAGTGCATTAAATGCCAGCAGCCACCTTGGCAGGGGGACTGAGAGGACTTAAAATGGAAAGTGCACAGAGTAACCCTACGCTGTGTGGCTGATACCCTCAACTGTAAATAAGCTGTACCTGAAACTCCTTTGTCAGGTAACAGAGAAACTCTTATGGGCCAGCCCTGCTGATCCACCTCTCTCTTCTGAGTGTTGGGCCTCTTCTCTCCTTGCTTGTCTCCCTATTGGCTGCAGGGCAACAGGGTCTTTGGCATATGGCCTCCCTTTGTCGACTCTAAAATAATAGTGGTTATGAACACTACTCACATATGAAAGGAGACAAAGGTAACAAAAATAACTAAGCAAGGGAAAATTCCAAAATTTCTAGAAAGTTCAAGATGTTTCCACAGTATTCTCTGTTATAGATGATAAGGTAAGTGAATCTAGACTTCCTTTTCTTTTTTTTGAGACAGAGTCTTGCTCTGTCACGCAGGCTGGAGTGCAGTGGCATGACTTTGGTTTACTGCAACCTCCACCTCCCTGGTTCAAGCAATTCTCCTGCCTCAGCCTCCCAAGTAGCTGGGATTACAGGCATGTGCTATCACGCCTGGCTAATTTTTGTGTTTT